ACAGGTTTGTTCAAACCTGATGCTGCATCTTTTCCCATCTGACAGCGTTTCAAAATGCTTCTCGTGATGCCAGCGATGTTTGGCTTTCTCAGTGTTTCAGTGCATCATAAATGTTCAGTAGGGTTGAGACCAGGTGATGGTACGTTAAAGTCCACGTCCATCAGGACTCCTTGATCTGTTTTTGTCTTCGAGTCAATGTTTTGAGGTGATGATCACCACGCACCATCACCCTGACGCGCTCCACGTTGGCCTCAGTCCTGTTCGCTGAAGACCTTCTGCTCCTGGGACCATCTTCCACGTCCTCGCGTCCCTCCTTAAACCTCTTGCACCACTCAGAAACACTTGAGAGTGACATCGTAGTTCATAGTTTGGGTTTGAAATACATCTTTTGTGACACCAGTCCTGGAACTTTCCTGACACACCTCGTCTGTCAGTTGCGTTGATAAAATCCCAATACTTGAACTTGTCATTGTGCAGTAGAGCAGTTTAACATCGTGTTCGTGGAGTCTTTGGTGTGGAGCGGGGGTGGGTGTGAGGGTGAGGCAGGGAGTTCATGGATTCTATAGCAACAATGGTAAAGAGTTATTTATGAGTTTTTATGAGTTAAATCAATGATCGGAGACGTCTTTTACACGATCAGTGCTGCTGATTTGTTTCAAACTTTGACAGTTGGCAGTATCATGTTGTATGCAACAATAAATACCTCAATGCGCCATAACACTGCTATGTGACAGACGCCGCCATTTTTCACCCACAGCTTTGTGTATTAATCAGCAGTAATCAGTGTGACCCCCCTTCCTCCACTGTTCATATTTCCACAGTAGGTGGCTTGCCTGTAGTGTCCAAGCCTTTGTGGGCGTCTTATTCTAGCAGCTTCCTCTGATTGGAGTTTGGAATCAGATTTACACTCATGTTGTTCTGGCACATCTTTTGTTATTTCTCTTCCCAAACAATAGTGGGCTTGAATGCTTAATTTTCTTTCAGTCTTTCTTGGCATCGTTTGTCCTGCTGAATTCTCCCTCACGTGGCTGATATGAACTCAGTGTTCTGTTTTCAGACGTCTCTATGAGAAGCTGCTGTCCTCACTCGGGCTCAGTGTGTCTTAACCTTCAGCCATCACTCTGCTCTGCTTCAGTTTACTGTTGTGCATTATAACAGCGTACCGACACCGCCGTGGTACATTCCATACAGTCACGGCTCCATGCCATTCCTCAGGCCCAGACATGTGACACAGACATGCTGCTTCTTTCCCAGTCAATCTATATTATGTGTTATTGTGTACTGCAGTAAATCATCGGTAGCACAAACAGCGGTCAGGAGTTCACTCAGTGCACAGCTGACCCGTTACGACGTATATAATAATTAACGTATACCTGCAGTCGGTGTGTGAAGGAAGACGAGCGGTGTAGATAGAAAAGAAATCAACGCTGGGTGGAATGCTTCCTTTTTAACCATAAACTTAAATGCTCACACACATTCACTGTCTTGCTGCTGGGAATACACACCATATGCATTCATACACCATCTGAAAAAATAGTGCATGATACATTCACTGTGGCCTGCTTTTAAAATATAATATATAATATAAATAAATAAATTAAAAAAACATGGTTGCATGTATATTGCAATAACATAATGTGGGTACACAGACTTTTCACTACCGTAATTTCCAGACGATTGAGGCACCTGAATATAAGCTGCAGGTGTCCACGTTGGAACATGACATGGGCGTAGCGGACGCGGGGTACACGGGGGGACATGTCCCCCGCACTTCCCGTATCTGTGTCCTCCGTCCCCCGCACTTTTTTTTTTTTTTACAGCCATTACAACCACTTAATTCATTTTTAACATGTGGAAACACGTTTTTCCGAGCCGCCTTTAAACGCATCATTAGTAGACGGCGCTAAACAGCTGCAGTGTGACGTTTAGCTTTAAACATGTCCGCTAAACAAACCAAGAAGCAGAAAACTCTGGACAGCTTTTTTCCCAACAAACCGTGTAAGTGTAGTAATGCTGGTACATGGTGATAATGTTTAGCTAATACAAAGATATTTTATATGGGATATAATTTCCTGGGACTTTGGCTAAAAGACTTTGAAGAGGACTTTGTCATCCTAAGTTAGCTAGGTTAACTCGCTAGCTTAGCTAGCTAAATGTCAATGTCGTTAGCTAAGCTAGCTGATTATAAACCCACTCCTCCTTCATTTCTGTACAGAACATGTGCTCTGGTGCGGATCATTTTAAACAGGAATGCTGTTTTACAGAACTTCTGGTGTTCAGTGTTTTAATGTGGCACTTCATTATCTGGCCATGCACCATGTAGACGCCCCGGGTCCTTCTATGTCAACTCAACCACAGTTGGCAGCTTTAGGTTTTAGATTTTGACTTTGATAGTATATCATTTATTATTATTATTTTTTTTAAAATAATAACGTTGGTTCCTTGGTGCTGTGCTGTTTGTGGTTATGTGGTTGTTTACCTGCTAAGGAGAGGTGCAACTGAATGTGAGAGGATAATAAATCACTCAACAGACCTCTGAACAGTTAGTCCCCCACACTTTTAAAATGACGGCTACGCCACTGGAACATGAGATATTTACACAGAAAGATGTTTTAACCTTTAATTAAATGCGTAGCGGTAACATACACAAATGCTTTTTTCTGAACAGTTCCTGTAACTCGGCTGGTTGAGGAAATAAAACTCCAGCAGCTACCAGGAAAAGTCACTGATGGCTATCTTCATCTTCCTCCTGCACTAAAACCACTAAAGTCGTCTTCTTCAGTGTCTTCAGGAGCTGAACAGCCTCAGAATCACTTCATCACTTCCTCAGTCTCTCTGTCGTCGTCGTCAATGCCACTGACTTAAAACAGGAGGAAGCAAACAAACAGCTCTGCAGTGTCACTTCAAAGTCATTTTATAACCAATTCAATTTTTGTTTCAGTAAACAGATTTTCTAACATCTTTGATTGTTGAGTTTCTATTTTCAATAGTTTGCCATTACTATACTTTTGAAAGTATTTCCTTTTGACTGTTCTTTAGAGGAAACACTCTGCTGGTCAACTTAGAAATTCTGTAATTCCTGTGAGGTGATTACTTGTCATGTCACTTCCTTGTGCAGTTCATTCACTGTCATGTGCTTTGTTGGTCCTGCAGGCCATCATGGAGGAGGCTGACCTGCTGAAGGAGAGGCTCCAGGCGATCACGGTAAAGCATCTTTTACTCAAACTAAGCCAGGATACAAATGTTTAGTGATGGCTGCTACTCTGTTGACTTAACTACATTTTTTCTTTATGTTGGGCTTTTTTGCTCTAATCAGGTGGAGGGATTATACTCATTTTAACTTTTCAAATCAACGCTAAACATCCACAGTGTTCATAAAGGTGAAGCTCCAGATAGATGCTCAGATTTAAGTTCAAACTGATCTAATGTGTTTTATATCTGACTGCCCACACGAGTTATTAAGTCAGAGACGAGATCAGGAGACTGTGACTTTGGACTTTTGACAGCAAACAAGATGTATTATATAAAGATGGTCTCCTTGAACTTCAAGCAAGATATAGAATAATATTTATGTCCCCAGTCCACATTAGAGGCACTTCCCTGAAATAACTGTGGTGTAAGAAACAGGAGACGATCACACTTGTTCCACAGCTGAAGCTAATCGGAGGCTTCAAGAGTCTGACAGTAATTCAAATACTGTAACTCAGACTGATGACATCAGGTTCGACTTAACTTTATGCATGTTTGCACACAAGAACTGTGAAGCAGCGACCACTCATTTACTCATTGTTATTGCATATAAATTGTTAGGTGCAGAATTACCTGTTATGTAGCCCTTATCATCCTGGTCTTGGCCATTTCTGACCCTGTTATTAGCAGGGGAAGAGCACAGGAGGCCAAGTGTGAACACGAGCTGATTGTTTTCAACATCAGCTCCTACTTAACGCCATCACTGCCAAATGTATTTTCAGCTCTGCTGCCACGGAGTTACTTCAGGTCTCTGCTGTGGTGAGGGGCTCCTGCTTCTTCTCCACCACCAGGGCAGGAGAAACGTTTATATTTTTCATATAGTGAACAAAAGATGATCATGTAGAGTCGTGACTAAACATAAAACCTTCTTTTATGTCGGATATCAAGGCTGTCGGATTGTCAAGACGGAGGTCCAGATACGAGGAGGGCTTGATGCTGGAAGGCTCATTAGTTGTTCATTATTGTTCATAGTTGTTATAATAACTAGTGTGTTGTTAGAACACTACGCATCGCTGGATTTCACGTCTAATTGA